AATGGTGTGATTGTAGAACCGTTGAGTTGTAGTCTCATTTGGGTTATTGAAAAATAATGAATTTGGCTCATGTATGGAAATGGATTGAAGGGAAATGAAATGAAATATGGACTTGGTATTCTATGACTATAATAAAAATATGAATGTTTTTATCCCTAGTATTATATATGCACATTGCGCTTATATCTTTGTTAAATCTCATATATTGTGCTAAATTATTCCTACTGGGCTGTGGCTCACCCTATTTGGAAAAAATTATTTTCAGGTGCTGGTGATATACCTCTACCAAGGCAATAGCATTGGATGGACTCTCGGGAAGCAAGAGCCTCTTTGTTTTGTTTCACTTTTTGTATAGCCTAGGGCTTTAATTATATGAACTAGTCTCACTTTTGTTGTAATCAAGCCAAGGCTTGGAAAGATGTAAGCCTAAAGGGCCTTTATTTATGCTAAACTCTTTTGTGCTATTAATATTATGAAATGAAAGAACTTTACACTATGATTCATGCTGTTATTCATTTATATTTAGGTTGAACTTATGGTTATATTTTGGGGGCGTTACAAAACCCGAGGTTCGAGGTGCAAGAGCTTCAATGCGGTCAAACACTGAGACTCGAGAAGTTGGGCTTGGACTTTTGTCTTCCTTTTTTTCTTCCACAGTGATATGTTGTATGTCTTCCTTCTTCCCTTTTTTTTTGGCAGATGTATGAATGGGTTCAGTTGGCATGAATCCGACTCCAGTCTTTTGGAGGCTCACTCTATACCTTTGTTGCCTTAACTTTTTCTGAGTTTCGTTGAGACCATGAACTTTCTCACCTGTAAGTTCAGGACTTAACTCTCCCAGTGACGAGGGACTTGCAAAGTCATAACCTGACTTGGCTAGAAGCTTGTAAGCTTGTGGATCAAACCCTTCCAATCGTCTTTCAGGTAAGGAGCCACGTTCAATAGAATTTTGCGCAACCCTAACAAATCCCTTTAGTGGAGGTTTAATTAGGCTTGACAATCCCACTTGTGTAATTGTTATTGTTGCATCTGCTCTTAGTGTTTGTAGATCTTCTTTTATTGCAGGGTGAGCAAAGTCTCCTTTAACTTTTGCGGGTGTCATGACTTCTTCAAGCGGCGACTGCCCTTCTTTCCGTTGAGACTTCGGCACATACTTGAAGACTTTTGTCATTGCATGGCCTTTTGAGGATGAATGTAGCGACCTTAATTTTCTTAAGTTATTATTTATTATTATTATGATTATTATTATCTTATTTTATTTTTGGCTTTATTAATTGTGTGGTCACATGAGAAGTTAATGTGGTAATTAATTAATTTAATGTGTTATTTAATTAATTTATTAATCCATATATTTATATTTGTTATATAAAAAAAAAGGTGTTATATATATATATATATTTAATCTTATATTTATATTTAGATATATTGTAATTATGTTGTTTTATATAATATAATAATATATAATAGTCAAATTAGGTTAGAATAGGGATTAGGTTTAGAAGTTAGAAGAAAGAAAACAAAACCATAAAGAGTGGTGTTGTGTGCGGCTGTGCAAACAGAGAGAGAGAGAGAGAGAGAGAGAGAGAGAGAGTGTGTGTGTGTGTGTGTGTGTGTGTGTGTGTGTAATCAAGAAAAAAGAGAGGGTCCTGCGTTGTGTATGTAAGAGAGACGGCAAGAGTGAAAGAGAGGAGAGGGAAGAAAAAGAAAAGATTAGGATTTTGTTTTGGTGACTCCATTAATTTTTCAAATAATTCTTTGATCTTCAAAAAAATATTGTGAGTACAAAACTCACTTCCCTTGATTTATGTTTAATTCGTTGTTTTTATTTATTTATGTATTTATTTATATTTATTTGATGTTAGTTTGATTTTGTTTTTACATAAAGATGATAGATTGATTTTAATTATTTTGATTGGTTGTGTATGTAAGGTTTATGATTTTTAGATGATTGATTGATTTTAATTATTTTGATTGGTTGTGTATGTAAGGTTTAAGATTTTTAGATGATTGATTGATTTTAATTATTTTGATTAGTTGTGTATGCAAGGCTTAGGGTTTTTATATGGATTTATTTTATGGTTGTAATCACACTCATGGATATATGAAATTAAAATAAATTAGGAACCCATAGATAAAATCCAAACACTTCACCATGACTCCAGGTTGTTGATTTTTTTGAGTGTTGATGAGACCAAGAGTGTATCAAAAAAAAGAGGATTTTATGAGATTTATTTTGAATGCTTTAGGCTTGGCATTGTTATGTTTGTTCTCATGAGTGAGATGTTTTGTATATGTATATTGTTGCCTCGTTCTCATGAGTAGACGAGTGCTTTGATTTACGCGCGTACGTATATGCTAACTATCCGGGGAGTGTGGGTCAAACTCGGGACGATATCCCCGTGCAAGTTTGGCTTCGGAGTGGTGTTAGGTATACGGGAGGCACATGGGATATATGTGTAGGCCCGAAGTGGTGGAGTTAAGGCACAAAGAATTTAATCATGAGTTTATTAGTATAGTGTGAATCGTATTGATTTGTACATCTTGAAAAATAGTAAACGATCTCGATAAATTATGAAATTTGAGAAGAGGCATGTATACGTGATTCTAGACAACTTTTGTGTTTAAACTTTTTATTAAAAAGATCGATTATAACTTATAATCGGATGATCTTGATTATAGTTGTTTTGATTCATTTTGGCAATGCAAATTTTAGAGGCTGTTTTAACCCACGAAGCGAGCTCATTGTTATTGGTTTCACGTAAACCGAAGTAAAACATTATTCTGCACACTTTTCGTGTTTTGAACTTTTTTTGAAAAAAATCATCTTAGGACAGTTTCTGTTCATTTTCAGTTTCAGATTTTTCGGTTGAAATCTGTCTAGGTTCTTCTATCAAGTTTTCTCTCAACCTGTTCAGTTTTTACTACATTTGTCCGAGTTACCTTTTAGAAAAATTGATTCCGTATAACTTTCGTTCTTTGATTTTTGGTCAATTCGAATTATTTAAGTATGAAATGGTACATTTTTATACTTCTTCAGCAAGTTACTTAAGATTAAATTATACTAACTTTATTTTGTTGCAGGATGATGGGTCTTACTAACTTTTTATGCAGGGCTGACCCACCATATTTTTATTTCTATTTTGTTTAATTTATAATCAATTTATATTTCGTTGTGTACGGCCAAGAAACTAAACGCTGCCGTATCTTGGGAAACTACCCATTCGTCTCGGTGCGGTTGGAACTATTTGTCTTGTCCTGTTACAAGAATTAAATATATTTTTGTTTGTATCTGGTGAACACGTGGGTGTTAAATCTTATACTCATACCAGTATACCTGTATACTGACTCGTTTTGTCTCTTGGCAACTTGGGTGCGTTCTGTTTGAGCGTAGCCGAGCTTCCTTTGCAGGATTAGTTGGGGTTACGGTGGTGACGTGGAATTACTATAGTTGTTGGACTTGTCGTTTGGAATTCTTTTGTTTTTTTTGAGCTTAGGGTTGTTATTAGTTTATGTATTTATTTATTTTTTATGACTTTAGTATTGGGATAATTTGGCAAGGTTTGTAACCGTACATTGTTTAAGTTATTTTGACTATTTATTGTTACTTTAATGTTGGAGGTATTGATTAGTTATGAAATTATGGTGGATGGTTTGGTTGGCGTTTAGTTTTTTTGTTTCACCCCTAGGATTTGGATGATGGAATATTGATTGGGGTTTAGTCCTAATTTAATATTTAATTGTCCAAAATTGGGACGTGACAATGAAGGCTGTTTTTGTGGTGACGCGACCTCAGGTGCTTTTTTACCACTTGATACATCTTCCTTTGAGAAGTCTAACACAACTTGTTTTTCTTCATTCATTTTCTCTTTCCTTGCAGAAGGAATTTCAGCTGGAATAACTTTAGGTATCCCATTAGAATCCAAATAAAATTTTGCATCAGCGAAGTATGACTCAGTTTCTGTAAATGGCTTGTCATCTGCTAGCACTGTCTTTATTTCACCATGGTCAAATTTAAAACATTAATGGAGAGTTAATGCAACTACACCATTTCCATGGACCCAAGGTCATCCAAGCCACAAATTATAGGACGTTCTTGCATCGATGACGTGAAACAAAGTACTGGTTGTGAGTTCTCCAATGGTGAGGTTCAAACGAATCATACCAATCGCAAGTTGCCCCCCTTGGTTGAAATCTTGAATAACCAAACGATTTCGGGCTAACTTGTCCACTGGGATTCCAAGCTTCTTCATGGTGAACTTTGGTATGATGTTTACTGCTGAGCCTCCATCAACAAGGATGCGGTTAACTTTTTGTTCACTAATAAAGCTAGAGACAAACAATGGGCGATTGTGTGGCTTTGAACCTAGATAAAGGTTTTCATCAGTGAAGGTGATTGTTGTGCAACAAGGAGCAAAAGTGATGGAGTTCACCTTGAGACAATCTAGCTCATTAACAACAAACTCATATTTCCCAGGATCTTCTAACACTCGAACTAGTGCAAGTTGTACAAATCTAGGGAGTTGAGACACTTCACACAAACTGAAGTGTGGGGGTAGTTCTTTCAAGGTTGTTAGGACATCAATTTCCTCCTTATCTGGCGTCGCCTTAATGGTGTGAACTTGTTCCATATCTGCTTCAATGGTTGAAACCATATAGACTGCTTCGACCAAGTCATCTTCAAAATACCAAATGGGGAAAAAGTCTCACAGGATGATTGGGGTACACGAGTTTTCTTTAGGAAATTTGTCTTCTTGTTGCATCTTTTTTTCATTCTTTCTTTTGTCCATCGTCTCCTTCTTGTAATGTCGATGTGAGTTCTTTTTTTCTTTTACTTTCTTGAGTGAAAAATGTTAAGTCTTGGGCTTGTTTCTTTGTGACTTTCTTCGTGTCATGAGAGTCCAACTTTCATTTTCTCCAATAGTTAAGACTTTTTCAAAACCATCAAGGACATGCATGTCTTGATTTGGAACTTGAATAATGATAGGTTCAAGTGAACCAAACTAGATGACTTTGGGAATTGCTTTCACTATTGGGATTGCAGATTGTGACATTTCTGTCTTGGATTTTGAGGATGGAGAATTTAGAGGTCCTACAATAACCGTTGCACGGTTGGATTCTACCGATTCGTCTAGGTTTAAGAGGGTTTTGTTCTTCCTGGCCAAGTCCACGAGCAATTCCTTTAACACGAAGCATTTTTAGTAAGATGACTAACTATCCGATGATAGTGACAGTACTTCGGATCCTTCACATGACCTATTTCTTCAGGATGTTTGCACTCAGGGAGTTGAATGACTTTGTTTTCAAGTAAATCTTCTAACATCCCTGGTACGTCAGAGTTAGGAAAATGGATACTTCTTTTCTTGTAGTTCCTTCAGAGATGGACATGTTTCCTTCATTTCTTTTTTCTTCTTGTCTTTCGTTGAAATCTTGATTAGAGTTATGGTTACCGCCATTGCTTCTTTGGTGGTACCTTTGAAAGGTTTGCCTCATTTTTTCACTTCTTTGCTATCTTTCCTTTGTTCAAGAATGGGAAGGTCTTTCCCGCCATGGTTGGCTGTGCTAATTTCCATGCCATGTGAACGCGTAGCTAACTTTTCAAATGTTCATGGTTTTATCCCTTAAAGGATGTAAAGAAGTCCCCAGTGCATGCCTTGCATGCACATCTCCACAGCTGAGATCTTAGAGAGTCCGTCTTTGCAATCTAGACTTAAAGCATGCCAACGGTTGATATAGTCTACCACAGGCTCGTTCTTCTATTGCTTGGTACTGGTTAATTTTACCATGCTTACTATACGACGGGTGCTATAGAAAGGATTAAGGAATTCACGTTACATTTGCTCCCAACTGTCAATTGACTCGACCTCCAAATCGGTGTACCAATCAAAGGCATTTCCTTTGAGCGATTGAACAAATTGTTTAGCCAGTAGATCTCCGTTTGTCCCGACATTGTTGCAAGTTTCCACAAAGTGAGCGACAAGTTGTTTAGGATTACCTTTTCCGTCAAACTGCTGGAACTTGGGAGGTTGGTATCTGCTAGGCATTCTAAGAAAATCTATCCTCTTTGTGTCAGGCTTGGAGTACATGAAAGCGCTTTGCCAGGGCCCACTGTATTGTGCTTAGATGGTATTTGCAATCATGTCTTAGAGTTGTTGAACAGACAAAGAAGCAATGGATGTTGGTTGACTATTTGTGCCAATCGCTTGCCTCGCAATAGATGTATGGTAAGTTTTCTCACCAATAACTTGTTTGGACTTAGATGTAGGGTTCACCATCTCAACAAACGTACCTTGTGGTGTAAAGCCAAGTGGATGAGAATCGTCTTAACTTGCTTCGTCAGCATTTCGTGCTTTTAACTTGTTCATCAAGGTGGCAATTTGAAGATCTTTCTCTTCCATAATTTTGTTGAGCTTGTCAATAGCACGAGCCATAGTCACCAATTATTCTTCCACTGAAGTGGTGCCAGTGGTCATGACTTGCATAGCCACCGAGCGAGACAAATCTGAGTGATTCGATGAAATTGAACGTTGAGGACTACTAGGAGATGATCCTGAGTGTGAGCCTGTACTTGAGTTTGCATCAGAAGCTACGAGTGTTGGGTGTGGAGAGAAACCTTCTAGCAGAGTATCCTTTGAGACAAAAGTGGTTTTCTTCCATTCCCTCACTTTCTTTGGCTTAGCCCCAAACGTGGATACCGTGATAGATTTGTGGGACTTGCCTAGCGCTGGCTTGTTTGCATTGGCGGTCAACATAACCCCGTGAGTGGCGAGAGCAGCGGATGTAAAAGCTTGTTGTTGAACTAGACAAGTTGAGGGATTTCTTCAAGTCTTCGAATGCAGAAACTTGGAGAAGAAAGGTTTGATCGATGGCTTGAGCGGCTTAATCTCAAACGAGTCTTGAAATGATCTCATTGAAAAGAAAGACCAAATTTGTATTTGTAACTCGAAAGGATTGGCACAAGTTTGGAGTACTTGTTAATCCTTTCTTTTGAGTTTGAAGAATTTTAAAGAGAATTTTAAGAAGAGAATTTGACAGAGTCTCGAGATTGCTTAGGAGCTTGCAAGATTATTAGCTAAGAAAAATGTGTCCCCCTCTTCATGGTGGGATCCTTTATTTATAGGCTTAGGAGAGAAGGATCAATTTTGGAAACTCCAAAATTGATTTGAATTTCCAAGGAAACGACAATTTATTTATTAATTTATGGACATGATTTACATTCAAATTTTTCATTAATATTTTTGACAAAATATCTTCATGAGCCCAACACTTTTGGGTTGACCAAATTGTTAAAATAAGTTAACTTTTTTTTGGTGTGATCCATAATTTAAAATGGGTTAAGATCCATAATTTTAATAAGACTCATATCCATTTAAAAATTTTGACCATCTTAATTTTGACCGATCAAAGAAAATTTATTTTCCTTGATTAATCAAACGGTGATCAAGACATGTGAAAATTTAAGTGTCTACAGTGATGATTTGATTATTTTTTTATTTTTTTTGTAATTGAATAGATGTGTGTAAAGAGAAAAATGATTTTGAAATTTTTTCTCCATTGCATGATATGAGAATGAGAGATGAGAGATAAAAAATGATTGATTGATATCTAGTGAAGAGAAAAGTAATTTTGAATTTTTTTTCTCCAAAAACATATTTTGAGATACAAACCAAACATACTCATCATTTTTATATAATATTATCTTTTGGGAGAGTAGAAATAATTTTTTAAAATACTTTTGTTATATTTATTTTTGTTAAATTAGTTTCTATTTTTTCAAAAATCAAATATGACGACAATTTTGATATCATTATTAAACCAATTTATTAAATTAAAAAATTCAAAATTAAAAAAATTCATATATTAAACATATCGATTACACATTAAAAGTGCACTAACCATCCATTACATGATAATCATCTTAAAATATCTGTTAATAACAAATACAACTATCTATTACATGATAACCATCCAAAAACATTAATAAAAATAACCACCAATTACATGATCATCATCCAAATAGATACTAAAAATTAATTTGATAAAAAAATAAAAAAAATAAAAATTTAAAAGATTTATTATTTTTATATAATTTTATCTTTGGTGGATAGAAATAATTTTTAAAAATTCAAAAATAATTTTTTGACATTTATTCTTGTCAAATTAATTTATATTTTATCAAATTGATGACTTTGTCCTTGAAATGGAGCAATGATGTATTCAATTGTCCTTATTCGAAACGAGATTCAAAATTTAAGACTAACTGTATAACGTCAGGACCAAAGTGACACACTACAAAGACTGTTAGTGTAATTTGCAAATTTAATTGTAACACTAATACCCTTAACAAGAAAGAAAATTTCATTATTTGTGGAAAATGTTTATATGAAGGTTTTGTGCATAATTCAGGGCATGTATGCAATTTTTCAGATCTAGTGAATGTTGATATTTGAAGTTTCTCCCAGTAGATCTCTAGTCCTTCCGTGCAACATTATTTGAGAAAAAATTGTATTAGAGAAAAAATTGAAAATTAGGGTGTCCAACAAAACTTTTAGAGTGTATTTAAAGGCACTCAAATCACTTTTTTAATTTTTTTTACCCTTATATTTTTTCTATCTCTATTTTCTCTCCCTATTCCCACACACTATTATCAATCGATGCTCACCAATGCCAAGACACGCTAGAAAAGTCGTTGGCGGCCCGCAACTACCGAGTAATGGCGTTAGAAAAGTGACATGTGAACAGATAAGTATCGATAATATGATTTTTTAAATTATTGTTGACCTTTTGGACCAAAAAAAAAGAAAAAAAAGAAAGAGTTTTTGAGACAACTGCTCCAAAAGTTTTAAATTTGAGTTTGACTTAATTTTTACAGTTTTTATATTATTGAAGTTATGGCCTTGTTTGGTTTGTGTTTCTCAAAAAAATTTGAGAAAAATTCTCTACAAATAAGTTTTTAAAAGTAATCAAACTAAACAAATTTTTCTAAATTTTTTTTCTAAAACTTGTTTGGTTTACAAATTTTCCAAACAAATCTCTCTCATACACATCAAATCAATCACTTTTTCCAAAACTCTCTCTCAAAATTATTTTTCAAAACATCTTTTAAAAAAAAATCAAACCAAACAAATTTTTGTACTTTTTATCTCAAAACATATTTCTCAAATACAAACCAAACAAGGCCTATATTTCTATTAAAATTACAATATAATATATATATTTTTGTCTTTATGCATTTTATAAAAAATGTGTTAGAGAATATTCTAATAATATGAAGCATATTTATGAGAATTTCGAAATGCTTGTATAGGAACAATGAATTTTTATTTTTTTATTACACTACATATTATCAAGGCATCACTAAATAAATACTATGAAAGGCTTTCATGAAAATTTTCTACCTTTGAATTAGTTTGTGGTGTTTTATAAGTAATGTTAAGTATCATGAAAGAAATATCATGAAAAGTTTTATGAATTTTTTTCATTATTTGATTTGTGTATGGTGTTTTATTATATGTTTAAGTTTCATGGAAAGTTTTCATCATTTGATTTGTATGTGGTGTTTTATTATATGTGTAATCTAAACGCAAAAAATATTTATAAAACATTTTATGATATTTGTTTATGATGTCTAAATTATTCTTGTTTTATTGTATGTTATGCAATTACCCTTGAATTAGTTTTATAAAAAAAATTTCATAATATTTATTTCATGATACATTACTCATTTTCTAACTTAAAACCGAACCAGAACCAAAACCAAATTCTTAAGGTTTTATTGATTTGATTCTTAAATTTTTAGAATGAATTTTCTAACTTAAAATTGAACCAGAACCAAATTCTTTAAGTTTTCATGATTTAATTCTTAAATTTTTAGAATGAATTTTCTAATTCAGAACCGTAAAGACTTATTTAGTTCTTAATTTATCACAGAACCGAACCGAACCAAACCAAACCAAACCAAACCAAATTTTGATTCATTTCATGCATGCCTTCTTGACGAGCCTAGTTGCTTCTAGATGGCTCTTACGCATGATTATAATGCTAATCATAAAGTTAATTCACATTTCAAACTAACAAAACACAAACAATTTGGATGGTTGAAGAATCTAAATGCACAATTTTAAAATTGAAGGAAATAAGATGATATTTGAACAAGTTAAGCATAATTAACCCTGATTAA